TGGGTTTGCCGATAGCTCAAGGGCAAAATGTGCATTTGAGGTTTTAGAGACTGACAAAATAAACCTTTTTGGTGCCTTCTAAGCGGAATGGAACACCATAAGGCATAACAACAACAGCAGAGTAAATAAATGGCTGGTTATGTCCCGCTGACGTGGCTCAGGCTCCATCAGCGGCACCACGAGTCAGCAAATGCACTGAAAGCGTAGTCACTGGGGGAAAGTTGAGAGCTTTCTTAGATAGGTAGACTTGACTCACCTTGACATTTACGTTCTGGTCAAAGCCGTCCATTTGATTGAGCAGCTCAAGTAAAATTCTCTGCACCTCTCTATCAGCTGCAGAAATAAAAACGCAAGGTCAGAGGGTACATATGTACCTAGATGTTGCTGCATTTTCAAGGAATCAGGGAAACAAACATCCTAAAATGGGAAAACTTAAATTTAAAAAATAATGTTGTCCCTCAAGTCATGAAATATTTAGTAAGAATTCATTTGAAAAAATCCCCCACCAAGTCCCAGGTTGTTCTGCAAGTGATTTGTTTGGTCTGTATTTAGCCTGCAGCACATGTTCATACCTCCGGTCTGAGCATCAAAACGCTTCGTGGCAATGGCGTCAATCTCATCGATGAAGATGATGGCCGGGGCATTTTCCTTTGCCAGCCTGAAGACGTCGCGCACCATACGAGGACCCTCACCCAAATACTTCTGGACAAACTCAGAGCCCACCACACGGATGAACGCCGCTGGAGACAAAAACATTGAACAGGGATTTGTTTTTACTATGCACTACATTAGATGTATAAAATTACTTTTTAAAATTATATAGTCAATGAGCTTGAATTCATCTTTCATTGTTTGGGGGGAAAAGAGTTTATAGTGTAATATAGTATAGAACAAAATAATCTTCGTCCATAGCTCTTTCTCTCTGGATCTTTGCACCCCTCTGGTTTTTGGATTGATCCGGGTTAATATAATCCACAATGAGAAAGCATTTCCAATTTCAGGTAAATAACCATCGCCTTTTCTTTTGTTTTATATCAAGTTTAAATATTTATAATCCTGTCCGCTTCTATCTTGACACTGTACAATATGATCTCCCCACCCTCACTGTCTACAGTAGTAATTTATCCAATCACAATCACAGTTATTGGCCTGTCTGTCTTTCGGCAGCATTGTCGATTTGACTGTCTACTTGCACCTCATCATTAACCTTTTCACTTTCTAATCTGTACTGTCAATAAGTTTACTTTGACATTATGTATTTTTGGACTTCCACCTTCAATTTAATGTGATTTAATGATGTTCACACAAACCAGTTTACAATTCATACACTCTTTAAATCTGCACCTTATATTTGTACTCTTCTACTAAAGGAGACGGGGAATTTTCTGCTCGGGCTCCTCAGCTGTGGAAAAACCTGCTTGAGGATCTCAGACCAGCTACATCAGTATCTGCTTTTAAATCACTTTTGAATACTGTTTGTTTTCCATTGTATTCTCTATGTCCTCTTGTTTTGTTGCTATATTCATGGTTTTATTGGGAACTTATTGTTGGGGATAATACTGTTGGGATTTTTATGTTCTGAAAAGCACTTTGTAAGTTGCTTTATAAATAACCTTTATTATTATTATAATTATTTATTTGAACTTCAACTACTGCACAGTCTCGTCTAAAACTCTGAACAGTAACACCTACGTGTCTATGATATGGTGGATTACCTGTAGTGTGGTGTGCCACTGCCTTGGCCAACATGGTCTTACCACAACCTGGAGGTCCATACATAAGGACACCCCTGGGTGGGTCAATGCCAATCTAGGAAAGGAAATAGACCAGACTCATAAAGTATCCATTTTTGAAAAAGAAGAATCCTGTTACGCTCCTAACTATGAAAAGTTAAAGTGGGTTTAAAGGCCACAAAACATATTTATTGTCCATCTTTGAAATGTCTGACCTGTTTGTAGAGTTCAAAGTGGGTGAGTGGCAGCTCGACAGCTTCTCGGACCTCCTGCTTCTGAATGTCCATACCACCGATGTCTGCGTACATCACATCAGGCTTTTGGTCTGTGAGCAGAAGAAAAGGGGGAAAAAAAGGAAACATATTACAGCTTTACTATTTAAATATTGTTAACTTTTTTAAAAACCACCAACTTTAAGAAAAAGGTTTACATGTATTTTAAATGGTAGGATATGTGGCTACTGGTTAAATAATTGAGCACTTTGACTGTTTAATTAGACTCGAGGCTTGTGTATAAGTGAGGAATGTGAACGATAAGCCAACTTAACGAGGGTCAAATGTTCTATGCGAGTTGTAATGCAGCCGCCCTTCACTTGCCAAGGCTGTAGCTCCAGTTAGTAGCTATTGCCGTACTGCCATAAATCTCTACAACCTGGATGTAACCAAGTACCAATAAAAAGGATGGCATCTTTTAGATGTAGTGCAGAGTGGTTTGGCAGTATTTTGATCCAGAAAATGGATCGTTTTATGAAGGCTATGATGGCTTAAACTGACATGAAACGATTTAACAGGAGCCTTGTGTAACCATAACAAGCATGTGGATGTTAGCCAACAAGGAGGACCAAGGCTGATAGTGCACTGCTAATGTATAATGTTTTCTGAGTGTTTTTCAGTCTGAATAAAATAAGAACATCCCCAGCAGAAATCATAAATAATATCTTGTGGCACAATTAGACAAAAGGATCATGGTTCTTTGGTCAGGAAGCTCTGAACACATTTCTGGAAACCTTAATTAAGACAATGGTACAGAGTGTCTTACCAGAAGTCAGCATCATGATGCTGCTGTCAGCTTCAGGAGGGAGAACATCCACCAGGGCGTTGCTGTGCTTGTGCAAAGCCACTGAGGCATTGGGCTTCAGCAGCTCTCTGTCGATGGTGCTTAAGATGCGCACATAGTAGTTGGATCCTGAGAAGAAAGAACACAAGGAAAGAACTCATTACACATTTAAAACGATGTACCGCATCCTGAATAATTAACATTTGACAGTACATAGTACATTTCTTCCAGTTTCTCTTAAAAGACTCTGAAAGGCAGCACATGGTAAAGCATTTTAATATACAGCTTGTATGCATCATCTGCCATTTCATTCATTTTTAATTCTTAGCTGGATCTATTCATATATTTTTCATTTCAAACTCTGTATTTTGTGAATATTATATATTTTCTATCCATCTCTTAGTTTTAATGCATGAAGATCACAATCATTTTTATCCCTTTAGACAATATTCCCTGTAACGTTAAAAAATTACTAATAAAAATCTGTAAACTGTAGACTGGTGAAGAGAAACATCTGTAAAAAGGACAAAACACTAAAAACAAAACAACTGATTCTATTTCAATGTTTTGGCTGCAGACTAGAGGACAGGAGTAACATCCTAGCTCAACGGTCCCAGAACTGTTTGGACCAGCCAAGTCCAGGTTCAAATTTAGAAAGTCTATAAATGTTATATTGCCATGAAATAGTCCCATCTGCTATTAAGATATCAAGACCCCAAGTCTTGCTATACACATGGTACAGGCTACATGTCACTGTTTATGAACAGGCACACGATGATTAACCAATGGCACGAGCAAACACTGAGTTCTAATAATGTTTTATGGTCCCTATAATGGTTCTGGGTCTGTTAGGGTTTGTGTGGCATAATCACAGTTTTTTTTCGTTTTTTTTGGGATAGAGTCAGAAGCAGGGTTGACAGAGCGGAGAACAACATTTGTGAAAAGAGCCAAGGGTCAGTGTTGAACCCTGGCCGCCCGCTTGGAGTAGGATAGTCTCCGTACACGGGGCGTGCAAGAAAACCCCTCTGTGATCCAGCTCCCCAAAGGCTCAAACTTTCTGATGTGCGAAGACATCTAGCAAATTGAAAGCCTTTAATACCAACCCATCCATCAAGCATTCCTGCTGGAACAATCTGAAGAGCAAGAGATGCTCGGTGGTATTGTTAGCAGACTTTTTCTCAAGATTTATATCGCATTACATTTTAATACGCAGCCATTTTTTGTAGAATATACAAATAAATGTATGCTGTATAAAGCATGTTTTTATTGTATTTTAATGTTACCTGTAGTAGAGCCAACAATGGCTGTGTTCTGATCAACAGCTTCCAAGAACTGGCCAATGACCAGAGGTATGCTCTGTATCCTCTTCACCTCCTCCTGGGCATGGAGGAACTCCTTCTTTAGATTTTTCTGTTCATCTTTGATGTACTCCTCCTGCACCTCCAGGAACTCCAGCTCCTGCTGCAGCTTCTGCAAACACAGGAGAAAAAGAAAGAAGGTAAGAGCACGCTCCAGATGAAAATACTATAAATCTGAGCGGAGACCACAGTAAATGGCTATGTGTGGACAGTGAAACAACAAGCTCTAAAAAAAAAAAACTACTTTTGGAAAACAGAAGTAGACACTCTGCGATAACCCAGTCTTCTTATAAATCCAGAAATCCCATTTTACGTATTTAAAACTTGTTTATTTATTATCACTGTAGCTTCTATGAGAACTGTGGTGTCTGTCAGTGAAACCGCTGTGTTTGAAATGTATGCACTGCAAAGCCTGCTGTTATTAACAAATAAAAACAATACATATGAATTCAGTCGTGAATGAAACATGGCTTTTGGAAAGTGTAGTGGCAATTTCTTCTTGTGTGTCATATAAAAATTGTCACTTGTGTGACGTGTTAAATCAAGTACTATGTAGTAAATTAATACTTATTTCTTACAACACAAAATATACTCTATTAACACAAACTTAAACCATACTTCTGAAACTGAAGTTATTATGATTAAAATGGCCTCTACAGTAAGGTTTAACATTTCTTTATACAGAAGGTGTCAGACCTTGTATCTGCTGTAGAGGTCCTCAAGATCTTCTGGTTCTGGGGCCAGGAAGGACAGGCCTGTCTGGGGTCTGGATGTCAGTACTGCCGGCATGTCTTCCTGTGAACACAGAAATAAAACAAAAAACATTTATCACCACAGAAATAAAACATTTATATCAATATTCATTAATCAAAGTCAAAGTCAACTTTATTGTCAATTTCAAAATATGCCAGACATACAGTGGAATCGAAATTTTGTTTGTCTCCGTCCCGCGGTGCAATACAACCAAAATAAGGTAAAATAAGATAAAATAAGATAAGGTAAAATAGGTAAATAAAATAAGGTAAAATAAGATAAGGTAAAATAGATAAATAAAATAAGGTAAAATAGATAAATAAAACAAGGTAAAATAACATAAGGTAAAATAGATGAATAAAATAAGATAAGGTAAAATAAGGTAAAATAGATAAATAAAATAAGGTAAAATAGATAAATAAAACAAGGTAAAATAACATAAGGTAAAATAGATGAATAAAATAAGATAAGGTAAAATAAGGTAAAATAGATAAATAAAATAAGATAAGGTAAAATAGATAAATAAAATAAGGTAAAATAAGATAAAATAAAATAAGGTAAAATAGATAAATAAAATAAGATAAAATAAGATAAGGTAAAATAGATAAATAAAATAAGGTAAAATAAGATAAGGTAAAATAGATGAATAAAATAAGATAAGGTAAAATAGATAAATAAAATAAGGTAAAATAGATAAATAAAACAAGGTAAAATAAGATAAGGTAAAATAGATAAATAAAATAAGATAAGGTAAAATAGATAAATAAAACAAGGTAAAATAAGATAAGGTAAAATAGATGAATAAAATAAGATAAGGTAAAATAAGGTAAGGTAAAATAGATAAATAAAATGAGGTAAAAATAAGATAAATAACATTTACAGTAATAAATTCTAATAAAATCGTCTTAAACAAAGCAATAACTGGAGCAGCAGGACGCAAAGTAAACAGATAAAATGTAGTGATGGAACAGAAGTCTTTCTCTGCAGAAACTAGTCGATGTTACATTTTGACAACAAATCAAACACAAGCTCAGTTAGCATTAGCTCGAAAGCAGCTAGCTCACTAACATGATCCAAATAAATAACACCCGAATATTTCAAGACGTTTACAAAACACAGACAAAAAAAACAAAAAAAAACCATTCCACAATTGCTTACAGAACAAATTCTCATCCGTACAGTTTTTATAAAGTCCTTTACATCTGAACTACTTCAGAACAAATCGCGCTAACTGCTAGCAGCTAGCTTGCGTGCATGACATAGCAACTGCGCCGAGAATGAACAGGCAGGTTTTCACATTTCAGCATCTAAAACGAGCCGAAACCGAACAGTTAAATATCACGACTCGCAATGACGGGCAGCGACACGTAAAAATGTAAAGATTTACAAAAGCGTACCACAGAAAACTGCAAAATTTTAAGAGCAAAACAGGAAACAATGTCACTGATTCATACCGGGATCTTTTCAACAGCGACGATATCCTCCATGTTGAAATATGTCTTCCAAATGACGTCATGACGTACAACGTTGGAATAAAGGCTGTATGGGTAATGGAGTTCTTCCCGCAACATTTTTGTTTCAGTCACTACTTTCAATAAGATTTCTTTTTATTCTTTCATTCTTTCTGCCATCAGGCTGTTAAACCTCGACAGTGGTCGCTTGGAATGAAAGATTATTTTTATTATGTTACCCTATTTTTTGTTTCTGTGTTTAACCACAGTAATTTGGACTTGTAGGCTAAAGCCTGTACACATTCTCAGACTTTATTAATACAATATAATGTGTAATGCATCCTATAATGCCCCATATGAGGCCTAATTATTTATTTAGTTAGTCATTTATTCATTTAATGTTTTAAACTTAAACTTTGTATTTTAATCTTTAATCAACCCAGTGTGTGTGTGTCATTATTCAAGAAGCCACATGAGGGAGCCAGTGTGTATTTCTGTCAAGGTAGTGATTTATTTATTCTCTCCCTAACATACTCCTGTCTGCTGTGTGTTGTAAATGTAGGCTATGTATGGTCTGGGTCGACTGTCAAAACCAATCTGCACTTTATGTAACCTAAATCTGTTTGAATCTGAATCTGGATTAAAAGTGACACTGCAAGGTGGCCTTCAACGGTCTGACTCAATGAAATAATTCTAATGTCCAGCTTTGATCTGCATTTAGTCTAAATGTTTTTACATGTTTTTTTACATTGAGCTACTCAGTAAGCCACTTTAGAAGAGGTCAGTTGAGAATTTGATGGCACAGATGCAACTTTGGTAAAGCCACTCGTTTGGGCACAAAAGAAGAGTAAATCTATTAATCAGACTTCTCTTTGTGTGCAAATCAAGCCACAACATATTTTCTTCGACCATTTAAAGTTTTAATAAAACAGAACAAATATGTGTGGCATACGATTTATATGAAACAGAGTGTTGTTATAAAAAACATTGCCCTTTGCATCCCCACCACATGTACTTGTGACTTACCTAAGATTGTTAGGAAGGTGTCATGTGTATCTTGTTGCAGAACAGGTGGGCTTGTGTTGCACAGCATCTGCATTCAGTAGGAAAAGCATAAACGGCTTAACACCCTCACACAGATATATAAACCTCAGAGGAAGTGTGTTTGTATGTGTTTAAGTGTGCATGTGCGTGCTTCTGTGTTTCTGTGTGTGTCTGTGGTTTGGGGGGGTACGTATGAATGCACATCCTTTTTATTCACTCAGAGCATGTGGCACCTCGTGCGTTTAGTCAACAGGCATGTTTGAAGTGATTCTATCTGAGACGCATCACAGCTTAAAACTGACAAAATGGGGACAGACACAACTGATGATTCTCTACCTTCTGGTCTCAGGTAAGATGTATAAAGATGCTGTGGTTTAGAGATTCAAAAATATGTGTATTTATTCTAGGGCTCCTGAAGTTATCCTAATTTATATATATATATATGCAGTATTTCAGCACAGTGTGTTGAAATCAAAGTGTTCAATTGAAGGACATTATGAGCCTGTCAAACATTTCTTAAATAAAAGGACAAACTTTTTGACATCATTTCCTGAAAGTGTTCATTTAGATATAATGGTAATTTCTATTGTGGTTTCTTTGCTGTGGTTTCGACACTGCTGTGTGAGCACACTGTAGTGTATTTATTTTTCAATATATTTTATGACAACCAGCTTTAGGTAAAAAGGAGATTTGCCTCTCAATTTATTTATTTATTCAAAAGAATAGAAAATCATTCTGTTATTTGGAGACACGCTTCACCCACACATAGGCATGTAAGCACAAATAGGACCTGTCGTCATACATTAATGGAGGTCAGTGTGAGGGGGCCGAATAGGGACTGGAGCTTCAATCAGTTCAGGGTTTGGTGCCTCGCTCATTCATTCATGTGGACCACAACAAATCTCTTCCAACTTTAAATTCAAGCTACATTTAAAAACCTTTCTGTTTTATACTATTTGGACTGTACTAACTATTAGAATAGAATAGAATGTCTTTATTGTCATTATACAATTGTACAACAAAATTATTTGGCTTCACCTTAAAGTGCACACACATACAAGCATCCACAGCTAAAAACAACAAAAGAAGAAAATAACAAAAAAGGAACTCTCATTCAGGTAAGATGGGCAATGTATGGTAGGAGTTATTTACAGGTAGTAGCATAACAGAATATAAATAGATATTGCAGAAATATAAATAATATTGCACAGTATGAAATGTAAGATATTGCAGAAATATAAAATAAATATTGCACAGTATGAAATGTAAGATATTACAGAAATATAAAGTAAATATTGCACAGTATGTGTGGTGAGGGTGGGACGGTCAATGCATGTCCAGGTTGAGTGTGGTTATGGCTCTGGGGAAGAAGCTGTCCTTGAGTCTGTTTGTCCGTGCTCTGACAGACCTGTAGCGTCTGCCAGAGGGCAACATGTCGAACAGATGAAAGCCGGGGTGTGAGCTGTCCTTTACAATGTTTTTTGCACTGTTCAGGCAGCGGGAGTTATAAATGTCCTCAAGTGAGGGGAGTGTGCAGCCGATGATCTTTTGTGCTGTGCTTATTACTCCATGAAGCCCCTTTCTGTCTGCTTCAGTGCAGCTGGCGTACCACACTGTGACGCAGTACAGCAGCAGGCTCTCGATGGAAGAGCGGTAGAAGTTTGGCTGTCAAGAGAAAAATTACTTCATAAAATGCCATTCATTTTGGACAGCTGTCAGACACAACATCCACATAATTTGGGGGTTAAAAAACTAATATGCAGGACATCCTTAAATGGACTTGAGCTTGTATAGACTTTTCTAGTCTCCTGACTACTCAAAGAACTGTCACACCTCAGGTCAACCCTACCCATTCACACACTGATGGCATATTAAGCCTTTAATATTAAGGTTGTTTTTGCGTTCATTTTTTATTCTCAAACTATCTTTTTCTGTTGATTGATAAAATCTGAAAGATCATTCATCCACACTGTGTTAGATGAATTAAAATTTAAAATACTTGTCATGTGAAAACTTTTCTTGTCAGGTTGTTGATCAGTTCTGGAGAGCCAAAGACCAATGTTTTAGGAAGCTGAATCTCAAAAAGGACACAGATCCTCATACTCGATGCTCACCATAACAAATTCTTTTGAAGATATTAGAAAATCCTATAAGCCTATAAAGTCTATTTTCACTTCTTCTCTGGGAATATCTAGTTTCATAGTTTTTATATCTCAAAACTCTTAGTTCATTTTAGATCTTCTTTTGAAGCTGCTACCAATCAGGGAACCAAAACTCACGGCGTATAGCAATTTAAAGGGCTGAGGTTGGATTCGAACCCACAGCGGCTGTGCTGAGGACTATAGCTTCTGTGTGTGGTGCACGCGTCATCAGCGCCATCAGCGCCATCAGCGCCATCAGCGCCCCCACAAGTTCATGATCTAATTCATATTTACTAGCATTAATTTAAACATCATCTGCAGAGGTTTGCCATCAAATGATTTATTAGCGGGCACTGAACAAATGAATGTAAAATAAGCTACCTTCAAGTTTGTTTCACATCAACGTTAACTTGAGTGCAGACTGTTAGTGGCAGATGGAAATGTGTTGTTTGCTGATAGATATTGTTTGCTCAATAGTGCTTAAAAATGTCAATTAGAGATCAAAACTTTTGACCAGCCCGACATGAATACGGTCTGATGGAAATCAGGACAGATTTTATAATCCCCAATTGGAAATTCAGTGTTTTCACTCTGTTATTGCTATAGACTGTATAAAACATGGACGTAGTCTGAGTAATGTCACCCTTTGGTTTCTGAAGCGCACTGTGGATGGCGGTCACCATATTGGAAATGCTGTCTCAACCAAACTTTCTGTCAATCTAAAAACAGATGATGAGGTGCAGCTGAGGCGGGCCTTAACTCTCCTGATAAACCAGCACTGACATCAGTCACTCCCCTAATCATGCATGACTCTTGGTATAAAAAAAAAAAAAACTCTTTGGTATAAAAAAAGAGAGAGGGTTGTGACGTTAGCATGCAGTTTCTTTTGAATCCTTTTGTGTTTCTTTTTGGCAAAATTAAACTTGTGTGTGTGTGTGTATGTATTTAATGTGTAAAACAATGTGTGTAAATGGACTGTGTACAAAATGAAAAAAAGATTTTGCCATGATACATTGGTGGCTGATCTAATGGAAGGCCAGGGGGGGGGGCCATGACATTTATAGTAATTGGTCATAATATTACCGTAAGCTGCACACGATGAGCATTTTAGTGGTTGACAAAGTGATGGTAGGGTTTGAATGGAAACTATTGGTTAGTTTCATCCTGTGGTGAACTAACATCCTGTCATTGTTTTATTTCTGGCTGTTTTTCAGGTACATGCTCCCTGGTCACAGTCCTCCAGCCTCCTGTGATAATGTCTCCCCTCGGACGTGCTGTTGTGCTACAGTCCAACCTCTTTCTATCTCCTGATGAGAAGATGTTGGCCCAACCGGTTCTGTATTGGGACCATTTAAAAGAAGACTCTGACAATGGCAGACTGTGGCCCAGCTCAAAGAAATACAAGAGCCGTGTAGCACTGATGGACAGTAATGAAGACTCCTTCAACAAGTCCATACTGCTCAAGAATGTGCAGTGGGACGACAGCGGGCAGTACTTGTGCAAACTTTCCATCACCACAGAGAGGAAAAAGTTCAGGGAGCTGGGCACACCAACTTTACTGATGGTTTACGGTAAATACAAGGTTCTAGATATTTTCCAGTTTCCAGTGCTTAGCAGCAAAGCAAATAACGATATGAATGCATGTTTCATCTACTAGTTCATTTCAAGCTTCTGTAGGGTTTAGCTCAAGATAAGGAACTGGGAAAAGTTTTAGTTCAATGGAATGATCAAGATAACCTGAGAAGTAAGATTTAGGCCAAGGGGTTAAACTCTCAATACAGTATCTCTACAAGGAAAGACAAGAACTACAAGGCGGCATGAGGGCTTTAATGTGCCTTGTTCTCATGTG